TTTTTACTTAGGAAATATATTGCTAATGAATCATGTAGAGTGATAGCAAACTCAGTTGATAAACAACCTGATTTAACTTATATTATATTTTCAACTGTGATGTTCAAATGTTTCGTAATAGAGGGATTCCATTTGTGAAGACTTTATGGAAGCACGAATCGCACAATGATGCTAATTGGGAGAAAGTTTAGGATATCCAAGCAATATATCCACAACTTATCATTTGAGGTTTGTTTGCTTTCATGATTATTTTTCAATTTTCGAGGACAATTTTATGAGGGAAGATTTTAAAAACTAAAATTATAATAATTAAAATAATAAAAATACTAATAAAAATATTAATAATCGAATAGACAAAGGACGAGCATTTTTTTATTTGCGACTTCAGAGTCGTATACTTCTTTCGAGCGAATGAAATCGAGAGAGCAAGAGAGAGCAGAGAAATTGAGAATGGTGTTACTTGGGAGAAACTTTCTGATATGCAAGAAAAATATCCGCAACTTTTCATTTAAGTATGTTTACTATCATGGTTATTTTCAATTTTCGAGGATCAAAATTTTATAAGGAGCGGAAATTATATTAACTTAAATTTTAATTAAGAATAATAAAAATATTTATAATCGAATAGACATGATGGATAAGCATTTTTTTAAATTATGACTTAAGAGTCTTATACTCCCTTCGAGCCAAGGAAACCAAGAGAGCAAGAGAGAGCAGAGAAATTGAGAGTGGGAAGAAGATAAGAGGAAGGGATAGAGAAAGAAAGAAGTCATCAATTGCGTGCGTGGGGGGCTTCGACACTTGCATAGCTGAAGGGAGGAAAGGGGAGGAGATTGGCTCACTCTCTCTGTTGAAATTGAGCCCCACTTAAAAGAAGACGAAGTTAAGGGAAGAAGGTGTGCGGCTTTGTTGGAAGGAGAAGGCGATGGCTCAATTTTGTGCTTGAAGTGGAGAGCCGACCCCTACTAAACCCTATTTGATCGGCTCTAGTTCAAAACAGGAGGAGAAAGGATGATGACCATGTGTGTGTTGTGTTGGGTCGAGCCGAGATTGAAGGCAGAGGAGGAAGAGGAAGCTGCGGGTGCGGGTTAGAGAAGCCAGTTGAGGTTTAAAAAGGAGAGTTTAAAATTTTAATTTAGTATTTAATAAAATTTTATATCTATGCGAGTTTGCGTTTATTTAATAAATGTTTATAGTAACTTTTATTGAGTTAGGGCTCAAAATATAGAATTTCAGCTTGGATGGGAGACCTAGTAGGTGAAGTGTGTGAGCTAAAGGAGGAGAGAGATTGATCCAAGCAATCTCCAAGGTAAAAATTCGGGTGTTTGTTCATATAAAATATTTTGTTTAATTGAGTATTTGCCATTAAGTATGATTTAATGAATTTAATCAGTGATCAAAGGAAAATTTTGATTCAATGAACCAGTGCTTTGGATCTTGGTTTGAGCAAAAGTAGAGTCAAAGAGGATGTGATAGTAAAATAAAGTAATCAGAAGATTAAGTTTGTTAAGAAGTCCTTTGAGGCAAAAAGTGACTAATTACCTTCTTATATGTATTAAAAATATACGCTTATTTAGTTAAGATTTTCATTATTGCTTTAGATGCGTGTTTTTATAATTATATGCTTGTTGAAAGATAAAAGAATTATTAAAATGAATGAAATAAAATGATAACAAGGGAAAATGATTGTTCAATATCTTTAAAATTAAAGGAGATAATTTAAAGGAAATGAAATGTAAATGCTTAAGCCATTCAGTATTACTCCCAGATGATACTGGTAGATAATGTGATTTACCCATTCAAAAAATGAAAATGAAAATGATAAATGTATACCTTTGAGGGAAAAATTTTTAAGATACCTATACGTACAATTTTGAGGATACTTTTGGGTTGAAAAATGCTAAAAATAGGTAAATAATTAAATTTGAACAAGAAGGGTTGAATTAAAAATGAAAGTTTATCGTTTAATTTATCAACAAATTGCATTTTTTTTGCATCATTCATGCATAGCATTTTGATATATTATTTAATGCATGATTGTAAATCCTCACTAAGTGATGTATTTTTTTTTTTGAAAATTGATGTTTGCTTTCAAAAAAAATATTAGATTGATATAACTGTAGACGAGAGATGATTTATAGAAAAAATACTGTTGATATTTATTATGTTGGATGTTGTGATTGTAATTGTTGTATTGTTTATTTTTGAGTTGTGGTATACTGTTGCGTATTGGTTTGAGACATTTTACTGACAGATTATGTTGTTATTTTTAGATTTGATTTTTGTATAGTGTATTTTGTGATTTGTTTATACTTTTTATAAATTAGAAATTACGATAATTTGTGCAAAGTAAATGAACTATTAATTACACAGTCCGGCTGTCTATTCCCGTATTAATTAATCTCATTTTTTGGGTCGGGTCGTGATAGTTTTTTTATGTTGAGCGTAACAAGAGCAGATGAAAGGCTACCTTGATGTGCTAGAAGACTGTAAAAGGCTTAGAATATTATCCCAGAAGCTTTTGGAGTGCTTCAAGTTGTTCCTTATTGAATGGACTATATTCGTAGGCTTGTCTTCTTTTGATTCTGCGTTTGCTTGATTATCCTCATCACATTTGGCTTTGTTAGGCTTCAAATCTGCAAGCTTTTCATAAATTTACAACTCTTTTTAAGTTGACCAAAATTCTTGCAATTTTTACACGATGGTTTCTTCCTCTTTGCTTTATAGTCCTGTGATGATTTGTGAGTGTATAGAGCCGAGTTTTCAACATTTGATGTTGTGAAATTACCTGTAATCATGAGTTTATTATGACTATTTTCTCTTTATACTTTAGCAAAAGCTTCATGAATTGAGATAAGAGTTTAGTTTTCATGATTCTTCCCGTGACTTCATCTAATTTTTTAATAATTTCTAGAAAGAAGTTGAAGGTTCTTATCTGTTCAACAACGGTTTTTAAAGAACATGGCCTTGTAGACACCTCCATGTGTATGCTTCATTCATATCTAGTTGGAACTAATATTTGGAGAGAGTGTTGATGCATTGAGTAACATTTAGTTGATCCTGCTGTAGGGCATGTAATCTAGATTCAATATCAAATAACTCAGAAGTGTTGTGAACACTTGAATAGGTTTCCCTTGCGGTATTTTAGATCAATTTTATTTTTTTTTGTATATGAGGAAGTTTTCTCTAATTTCTGTGGTCATGAAGTTGTCAAGCTATGCCTGATGTTTAGGATCCATAATTTTTGGTGCTAGATATTTCTTAGTGAGATGATCATATTTCTTTTACCATATATCTATATGAAGACCGATTGAGACCCCTAAAGAAAAATGTTGCAATGTAGTTTGTGATTAGTGATGCAAGAATAGATTTTAGATGTTGTAGAACCCAACATCCTAGATTAAGATTTAAAAGTAACTTCCAAAGATAAAGAAGTGACTTTAATGCCACATTTGCTCGTCATGATAAGACATCGACATGAGCTTTGCTGGGGATTGGCACTAGATAGAATTTGTTTGTCACAAACACAAAATTTCTGCTCAAGTGTGAAATTTTCTATTGCGGACATGGGCTTTACTCAAGAGAGAAAAAATATCTATTGTCGACACAAGATAGTCTCGTAGATTTAGGATTACCACCGAAATGAGAAAGGAGACCACATATTTGAGATTTTCACTAGAGAGAATATCTAAATGACAGTAAGAAGATGACTGTAGATTTTTACGACAGAGGGCCTGCAGGGAGAGGCTTATGAAACTCTTTACGAAGGATGTCTTGGAGTACGAAGGCTTCTGCGAACATAAAGGAGTGAGAGGAAACTCCTTCCTAAGGATCTGTGACCCCGTTTGTGGGGAAGCGAGGCCGCATCTTCGAGTGGGAGAGTCATACAATGAGGCCGGATGAAGCATCTACGCACCGAGCGAAGCGAACGAGGAAGGTCTCTGTAAGTTGCGAACGAGGCTCAGACAATGTTGTCTTGTTGAATAGGGTTGCCGACACAAACTAGAACAAATTAGTTCTCTGATACATGTATTTAGGAGAAAAAAATTCACTTATTTATTACTAAGCAAATAACTAATATATGTACAACTCAGACTAACCCTTTTATAATTAGAGGGGAATTTAAATCATCATGATAAAAATGAAAGAAATAAAACACAGTAATAGATAATTAAGGGAAAATAATTTCTCCCCTCAAATATAACATCGGACCCTCGGTTTCCTAAATTGTGTGCATATCAACAGTGTATTTGTCAAGTTTTGTTGCTCTTTGCATCTTTTTCATGGAGTTACATCTATATTAATTGTACTCTATGTTGGAGCATAGGTGACCTTAACATATGCACTTTTGAAGGATTCTGGTAATAACCTCATGTCAAAACTTCTTAAGTTGGTATCGATTCACATGTTATCTGAATACTGATAGGTGAGTGGTGAAACGTGGATTCTATCTTTTATGGGTTTGAGGCTTAAATGAGAGCTATATTGAGTGTATTCTATTTTCAATTGGATTAGAGGTCGCGACATTCCTTAAGATATTTGGAAAACGTCAGAAGTATGAAGTGACTTTGCATGAGGCCTCATCTGAATGCTGACTGATTCCTTGTTGGGCTGATGTCAGCCTTGTTCATTCTATTTTACACAATATGATGAACAGCATATTATTTCTGGGGAATCCATTGCATGGCACTCAACACCAATGTGGAGCTTCAGGAGTCGATACAATCATAGATTTATATAATAGTTCAGAAAGAGGTTATGGTTTTGATGGCTGAATTGGTTTGTGTTATAGAAGGGCTGCTATGATACCATCTTACATTAATTTAGAACGATAAAAAGTACAAGTAGTTGTAATTTTAAAATAATTACAAAAAGTTTATTAAACCAAATGTTCTTTTATTTTTTGTTTTTTTTGTTAGTGTCATTCTTATTATTTTCCTTTTATGATCTTTTTTTAACGCCCATACTTTTTTTCATCGTGTCTTTGCTTTCTTTATCAGGTTATGGATGTTGACGGTGATGTCCCACTGGCAAAAAAATTAAGAAGGATGTCATCTGATTCTCTGCAAGATTTTTCTAGTTGCGAGGAGCTTTCGTTGTTTTCTACGACTCCAAATAGCTCAGAATCAACACAGGTTTGTTACCAAATGTAAATCATCTGATCTGTTTTTTTTTACTTGGTGGCTGGTGCTTTAATCACAGTTTCTGTTATTAACAGTTTACTCTTTTTGCTGGCGTAATAATTAAGTGAATGTAGATGGAGCTGTACAATTACTTTAGATATCCATTTTTTTAATGCTTTATTATTTCCTGCCATTTGCAAACCCTAGCTTGTACTTTTTGATTTAGGCACATAACTCAAATTGAATCAAAACATTTGATGCGGTGGCTTATCGGGATGCGGTACTTTAGCTAATACAGCGCTGCAGTCCCTTTTTCCTATTTGACTCCTTGCCTTGTCTATCCCATCTTTTTCTAGTACTTTTCTTGTCTACCTCTTTCCTTTTCCATCACATTTCTATTTCTATTCCCTACCTATTTTATCTCCTATTCCTCATTATATATAGATGTTGTTTGCTTTGGTTAAGGTAAGTTTTTGGTTTTATTGATTTCAGATTACTGTCTAGCTTGCCGACGATGGCTATTTTCCCTTTTAGGGCTGTATCCGAATGCGAGGAGGCGCTCTAGCTGTAATTTGTCTGAGGTGGTGATTTTCTTCAACTGTTCGAGAGTTGTTCCGACTGTAACTCGATCCCTCTGGGATAATTATCCTTTCATATTCTTCTCCACCTGCTCGCTGCCATTTCCCCTACGCCCTAGCCTTCCTATATTCCGCTGCTGTCCATCCTTTGAGGCTCCTTCCACCCACTGCACAGGTCTTCCGGCCCCTTTTACTGCTGCTGTACGTGCTTCCAACCACCTTCCAGCAGCCCCACTAGCTTTCTGGTCCTATTTCTGCTGCTGCCAGCCCTCAAGGCCTATCCTTGCTGCAGCTAGCCCCTCCAGGACCTGTTCCTGCTGGTGTGCAGCCCTAGGCACCGGTCCCTGCGGCTGTCCAGCACCAGGCAGCAGTCAGTGCTGCTGTCTAGTCCCACCGCTGAAGCTTCCTGCAGCTGTCCAGTCCCCCACCACCTCTCCTACTCCCTTCTAAGCCTCAGCCACTTGCTGCCATCCTCCTCCCAGCTGGCCTCCAGCCCTCCTACGCCATCCAGCGCCGATGCCACCTGCTGCCATCCACCCTCTAACACCGTCGTCAATTCCTTCCTTTCCTTCCAGGCCTGCCTCCCTCCTCTAGGGGGACATTTATGTGTTTTGTGCCATTTTCTTTCTTATTTTGTAGCGTCATCGTCTTTGCTTTTTGTTTACATGTTTGTGTTGTTTTATGTGAGAATTCTTGTTGTCACTTTTGAATTCAACAATAAAATTTATTGTTTGGTTGTGTTTTGGGTTAATTCCGGTATCTACATTACATTTTAATTAGATTACTCAAGGTAGTTTAATACTCTCTCCATGGTCTTGATATGAAGAAGTTTTTCTTATTTATTATTATTGTAATCTTGAAGCCTCATCTTTCGTATACAGTTTCTGATCCTTGTATTTGCAAAGATTTCTTAGTTTTATTTGAAAGTTGGATTTTCAAATCACTCATATCATATATGTCTATTTTTGCTCGCTAACAAATGGAAAGAAAATAGAAGAAAACAAACTTATAGTGATATTTTTCTGTTTAGGCCATTGTTTTAGATGACATTGTTGCAATTAGTCTTGAACTACTTGAAAGATTGGTCCGAAGATCTATGTTATATGATTGCTGATTTGTTTTGTCAATAATTCTAACGTTTTATTTTTCTTGATATGCAGAAGTTTTTCACATTTGCAGTTAGGGATTCCTTGATTAATGTGGGTCCATTAAAGGATTTTGCTTATGGGTTGAGGATAAATGCTGATTCGAATGCTACTGGAATTAGTAAACAGAGCAACTATGAATTGGTTAGTTATCAGCGTGCATAATTTTCTTAATTTGATTTTTATCTTTTTTGAGGACATAATTTTCACATGTTGTGTTTTTTGAATCGAAGTTCATGAAACTAAATTCTGTAGGGTCTGGGGGTTCATGCTTCTCCACATTTTATTACTTAGTGGAGGGGAAATCCATGTTTATTACAAGTTTTACTTTTCAATGATTTTGGAAATGATGAAATTCCTCATTCTTTTATGAGTGAATACTTTATTATTGCCTTTAGCTACTTAGCTTTCAAAGATTTAACTTATAAAATTTTTTTAAGTGGAAATATGTGACTAAAACACTTTGCCGATTTCTTTATAGCTTCATGATCATAGTAAGCACTTTGCAGTACCAATTGTCAATTTTGTAGCCATAACTCAATTTTGCTTCAAACAGCATTGAACAACATATCATTGCGTTACCCAACAAAGCTTAAGAGATTTTATTTGAATAGGAAAAACTTAGGACCCATGCCATCATGTCTTACGTGTGAGAGAATTTTTGTAATATACTTATTGATGGAGAATAGTTTATTATAGTGCAAATGTTTCTGTGGTGCGATGTTACATGATTTAGTGTACTTTTTTAAAAATTGTTCAAAATATTAAAAAAAATGCATATAATAATAGTAATAAATGTAACTAATGGTAAAATATTTTCTTGAAAATCTCGAGCATCAAAATAGAATTTAGGATCAACTTTCTGACATAAATATGGAAATAGCAGTAGTGGTTGGAAGTATCTTATTTCTAAGTTAGAAAATCTTAACAACAAAACAACTACAACAATATCTTGAAGGAATATAAAAAAATAATTCGTGCTTGTCAGAGTGGCTAGTTCAGAATAAAATTGCTAAGCAGTTTATTCCATCGAAAATGACAATGAAAACAGTTCTTGAAGAGACAACAATTTGATTAAAAAGAGAGTCATTTCATTTTTTTTATTTTTCATCTTGCATCCAAGTAGAGAATCATCTACTTTGTATTAGTTATGGAACATTTTTTCCAATATCTTTTTTTGAACTTACGAACAGGGAATCATTTTTACGTGCATGCACTAACATTCTTAGTTATTGCTAGAAAAGAGTGAATTCTATCAATCAATTTGCATACACAAGCATTTTTGCATTTTTTATATAATTCATCTCATTTGCATTTTTTATATCGATCAATATTTATTCATGATAGGCATTGTACTTGACGATTAAATTAAAAATTGACAAGCAGCATACATCATTCAATTCACCATGATCAATACTTTCAAGGGTAGAGATAATCATTAAAAACTTGTAATAACACTTGTTTGGTTAATATCAATATCGATTGATACATTTGATTTTGAAGACCTAACTTTAGAATATACAAGTTGTACTCACCACAACTTTAGAACACTTAATATTATATAATAAAGTTTGTTTATCAATGATTACTCCACTTAAATATACAAGTTGTTCTCATGTATGTAGTATTTGAATAATATTTATAAAGTTTTAGGTTTTATTGAATGAAATTCTATATTAAATATTTTTTTTCTGATTTAAATGCATATCTCAATTATACTCTTTAGTTTTTCATTTAAAAAAATCACTAAAATTTCTGACTTTTTAATTCTCTTCTTCCCCCAGCCCAAAATTTCTTAAGATAAGTCGGAAAATAACAAATATATTTAAGGTTTGTAGTTTAGTTTCTTTGGTGTTTTTGTCTTACCTTGCTTGCAAAGTAAGAAGAATGATGAAAATGTAGTCATTCCTTTGATTTTCTTGTTTAGAAACAACCCTAACTTGACTTTAAGGGTCTGTTTGGGGCAGCTGTTGATTTTCATAATATACTGATAAACAAATTATTCTGATAATCTACAGATTATCAGAATAAGCTGACTTGCTGTTTGGGGAGCTTATTCAGAACATTTTACTGGCAGTTGTTGTTGGATAAATGACCAGTCTGCCCCTGTTTGGTAAAGCCGTTTGCAACAGAATTATATGGGAAAATAATAGATATAACAGAAGCCTCAAACTGTTACAGATCAATTCAAAATAATAAAATACACTGCATCAAAAGAAATAAAATAAAGAGAAATGCAATTACAAATGAAATTAAAAATATTTAAATGTTCAATTTAAAACTCTGACGCCGTTTGTCCTCAGTGACATAGTCTTCCTGGGAAACCATCGTACCACGATCACTGTTGGCGGGAGTATGTCGGATTGTTGGCCCAACGGAAAAAACCACATCGTGTTGAAACCCCCCGACAATTGTAGAACTGTCGCCCACTGCTATGAGGCTGACGTGACTTTAGTAAGAGAGCGGGTAGTCTGCTGTAACACAACACAACTCGGGAGGTCTCTGAAATTCTAGAGCTCATGCTGCTATTGAGATAAAATATCAAGAAAATCATTTGTCAGATCATAAAATTAAATTAAGTTTTATATAACAACAATAGAACTGAAATAAATGAAGACCGTAGAACTGTCTGAAATTCATTATACAATGAAATACATACAAAATAAACTTCCAATCTAATAAATAAAGAAGCGTGACTGAATTAACATCCACATATAGCTTCTGCTATAGACACCCTCAAAGCAGTCATCTCTGCTACACCTTTACCCTCCTGAGTTTCAAACTCAACACAACTCGAGAGGTCCCTGAAATTCTAGAGCTCATGCTGCTACTGAGATAAAATAACAAAAAAATCATTTGTGAGATCATAAAATTAAATTAAGTTTTATATAACAACAATAGAACTGAAATAAATGAAAATCGTAGAACTGTCTGAAATTCATTATACAATGAAATACATACAAAATAAACTTACAATCTAATAAATAAGAAGCGTGACTGAATCAACATCCACATATAACTTCGGCTATAGACTCCCTTAAAGCAGTCATCTCTACTACACCTTCACCCTCCTGAGTTTCAAATTCAATCGACTCGATCTCATACTCAGGTAATGATTGCCCCACGAAAGATTCTGAATGTTCTGGAGACACATGTAGCTGATTGTCATCAACTAAAGTGAAGTTCATATATAATTGAGAGGGATGTTGTTGGATGAAGTTGTGAACTGCCATTGTGACCACTACAATATGCACTTGTTTGGGAGATTGATACAACGACATATCATGTAAGATGACCCATTTCTTCTTCCACACTCTAAATTTTCTTTCAATTACCCCACGTAAGGAGGAGCGTCGCTTGTTTAACATTTATTTTCTGCCACAGATCGTGCCACTTGCTCGCTCAAAATCAGGAATATGGTATCCGGTGTCCGGATATGACTTCAGGTAGCCCCTCTGTATCAGATATGCCGCATCGAACAAATAATACTTCCCTGTTATGAAATTTTTTTTTAATGAAAAATAATACACATAAGTTATATGTTTATGTAGATACTCAAACGTGGAGGCGGATGAGGGAAACACTGTGTTCTGTTCCTTGTTGTGTAAGAAAAAAGACGACTGTCATATGCACTCCCTTCCTATCACGCAATTACAAATGTGAAACACATGTTAAAGTCACATATTGCCATTACATTATAGGTAGTTGTGCCACTTCGACCAATGTAAGTGATATTTTCGTGACTTGGTAGTCTGACATCTATGTGCCTACAGTCGATTGCTCCTATGTAGTTTTGTTTTCCATAGTTAGAAACTCAATGTATTACGAAGTTAAAATAACACACTTATAAAAATTACGTGGAAATATGACATGTAACGGGAATCATTGGCAATTTGTTCAGAAATAGTTGCAAACAATGGATCCGCTGACTTGATGTTTTGCGCTGCTAAGCTCACAAGTGCTTGTATACTTTTGGAAGAGTATCAACTAATTGTTTTTGAAGAATGTTGAAATTATTCCATAGCTCTTCTAACTGATTCGTTATGTGAAAGAATGTATAATGTTATAGCCAACACCTCTTTAGTGGTCATTCTTGAAGAACCTTGAAGGCTGTGGTTGAGATATAACTCATGAAGGAGATTCATAAAAAATGGGCGTGTCGGCACTATTTTTGGTGTGGGGTTTGTCCATAAGAAGTTGTCGGTCATCGAAATTGAAATCGCGTTGCCCGCTTCGGAAGGACGTTTTAAAAAATTTAGTTTTGAAAAAGATGAAGTCAAACTGACCCCATAATTTTCATAGTTTAGATGAAAGAGCACTTTATCTCAAATCAGGTATCTAGCCCGAAGGAGGAACGCAAGAATTGAGAGGGAGGCTCGATCAAATAAACTAAAGAAAGTTATGACATCCGTTTGGTCTGCGAAACCAATGTATTGGCCGACAAGTTCC